AGAGGCGGAGGACAGAGGCGGTGGACAGAGGCGGAGCTGGAGGAAGGATGGACAGAGGCGGAGGACAGAGGTGGAGCCAGAGGAAGGATGGACAGAGGCGGAGCCGGAGGAAGGATGGACAGAGGCGGAGCCGGAGGAAGGATGGACAGAGGCGGAGGAAGGATGGACAGAGGCAGAGCCGGAGGAAGGATGGACAGAGGCGGAGCCGGAGGAAGGATGGACAGAGGTGGAGGAGAGAGGCGGAGCCGGAGGAAGGATGGACAGAGGTGGAGGAGAGAGGCGGAGCCGGTGGGAAGGAGGACAGAGGCGGAGCCGGAGGAAGGATGGAAAGAGGCGGAGGACAGAGGCGGAGCCGGAGGAAGGATGGACAGAGGCAGAGGACAGAGGCGGAGCCGGTGGGAAGGAGGAGAGAGGCGGCGCCGGAGGAAGTAGGACAGAGGCAGAGCTGGAAGAAGGATGGACAGAGGCGGAGGACAGAGGCGCAGCTGGAGTAAGGATGGACAGAGGCAGAGCCAGAGGAAGGATGTACAGAGGTGGAGCCGGAGGAAGGAGGACAGAGGCGGAGCCGGAGGAAGGAGGACAAAGGCGGAGCCGGAGGACAGAGGCGAAGCCAGAGGAAGGAGGACAAAGGCGGAGCCGGAGGACAGAGGCGGAGCCGGAGGAAGGAGGACAGAGGCGGAGGACAGAGGCGCAGCTGGAGTAAGGATGGACAGAGGCGGAGCCGGAGTAAGGATGGATAGAGGCGGAGCCGGAGGAAGGAGGACAGAGGCGGAGCCGGAGGAAGGAGGACAAAGGCGGAACTGGAGGAAAGAGGCGGAGCCGGAGAAACGGAGGACAGAGGCGGAGGACAGAGGTGGAGCCGGAGTAAGGATGGACAGAGGCGGAGCCAGAGGAAGGATGTACAGAGGCAGAGCCGGAGGAAGGAGGACAGAGGCGGAGCCGGAGGAAGGATGGAAAGAGGCGGAGGAAAGAGGCGGAGCCGGAGTAAGGATGGTCAGAGGCGGAGCCAGAGGAAGGATGTACAGAGGCAGAGCCGGAGCCAGAGGAAGGATGGTGAGAGGCGGAGCCGGAGGAAGGATGGATAGAGGCGGAGCCGGAGGAAGGATGGACAGAGGCGGAGGATATAGGCGGAGCCGAAAGAAGGATGGACAGAGGCGGAGCCAGTGGGAAGGAGGACAGAGGCGGAGCCGGACATCAATGACATCACGGTTTTCTCCAGAGCGACTATATATATAAATTAACTAAATTTAATGGGAGGAGGAGTGGGAGGAGCCAAGGCGGAGTTGACAGGCAGAGGTGGAGTGAAGGGATTAGAGGCCGCAGGCACAGCCACAGGATCCTCTCGCTCGGGTGGGGGTGGTGGTTTCACAAGCTGAGGCTTCACATCGCAGCAAGTCGTTCCCGGGGAAGACAAAGGGCTGCAGGCATCCAGCAGAGGCGGGGCTGGAGGACTGGCTGAGCTCTGAGGTGAGGGTGAGAGAGGGAAGCTGGACGGGATCAATAACAGTAATTCCAATTCCCAACAGGTCAATGAAACGGTCTCAGTGCTGTCTTAAAACAGCGATGATGAAGAACAGACAAATGATTCAGGGTGGGAGGCAGTACCTCAGTTCAGTGTTCCAGTTTATCAGCCAGTCCTCAGTGTCTAATTCCACCAGAACTCCCTCAGTCACAGTTGTCGCTGGCTTTCACCCCTGGTCAGACTCACTCTGGGGCTCCGGGGCAATCATCGGTGCTGCCCTCTCTTTAACGGGCTCTGGCTCCACATCGCAGCAGGCTGAAGCTCTCCGTCTGCGAGGGCTCAAATGAAATCTCCTCAGTCAAGGGTGCTGGTGGGCTGGGCTCTGGGTCTGGCTGCACAACATCTGTCAGGTGTGGCTGGAAGAGACTCCTGTTATCCCACGCTTTGCCCACTGTGAACACGGATCCATTCGTCCACAGGTCGAAGTTGATGTGAGCTTCTAGGGTCCAGCAGGGCATGACGAAACGGAGATCTTCATCCAGACCACACTGAAATCCCTCCATTAGACAGACGTCGTTGCATGTGGCAAGATGGAAGATGTTGAGGAACTCCTCCACGTATCGCTCCAGGTTAATAGACACAATATCCATTTCTTAGTTTGGTCCGGTCATCTGTCACACAAGGTTGATGATGAGTGATTATTGATGATGTTTCAAGAGTCTTTATTAATCCACTTCGAAGGCAATCCAAACAGACAGGCAAACAAAACAACCTCTAACATAGACGTGACCAGACAAAGAGTGACTGTGAGGTACAACTTATAAAGCAAACACAAACGAGATGATAATCAAGCACAGCTGAAACACAGAATAATGAGCATCTTGTTCTGTGGATTCGCCCTCAGCCATCAGTATCAGACTTTGCATTTCAGATCATTGTGTTTTTTATTAAATGAACACAAACATCAATCAATGTGCATTTCAATATTAGTTACAATGTTTTATAAAAGAAAAGAGGCCAAAGTACAACGATCATCTGTTAAATATAATAAGGCCCCTTTAGACATCATGTTTCTTCATCAATATACAATAAAAAGTAAAAAAAATCTGTGCACATGCTCTATACTGTCTAAACACACAGGATTGATCAGTCAGGCGTCTAAGCAGAGGCGTCGCAATAGGGCAGCAAGCCAGGTAATGTTGAGCATTCAAACAATCAGGAATGTTAATATAAAGACGCAGCAACATCTCTGCATCCCATCTCTCGCTACGCTGGTTATGCTTTTAACATCCCGCCTTTTCAAACTGGAGCAGCGCTGACTCGCGGTAGGTAGAAAATGCATGATTTGATTTGTTAGACGTGAAAAGGATTTATCCGTTTCGCATGGCCGCTCGCTCTAATGGTAACCTAGATAAATGTTTGCTATTATTAAGCGCATATGCAAGTGTGTGTGCGGAGTGTGGAGCGCTCACTGCCTGATGTGGAGGCGCCGGCGCGATCACTTGCATTTTCCTATAAACAGTGGAAACAACTTAAAATACTCCATCATTTCTGGCCACAAAGAAAAGAATAATGCATCAGTCGCAACTACTTTTATTTGTGTAAACTCACAATAACAAGAAAACGTTGTGCTTTTGTAAAATAAAATAAAACAATCAGGGCGCACTTTCGTGGTCTCCTTGGCCTGAACTGGAGCACGTCTCAAAAATAAACAGAAACTCAGCGTATACTAGCCTCACAGACATGAGAAATATATCTATATAAAGCTTGAAATGTCCACTTTTAAACGAAATAATTCAAAACTAAAGCAAATATCATCTGATTATGTAATCCGTATGAAAGATGCATTTCCTTCTAAAGGCACATCCACTTGACAGCGGAGATGTATGGAGATCTGTTTGCAGCCGACACTGATTTAGAAAACACTAGTTTATTAATAAACTTTTTAAGACATATTTATTATCATTGGCCTGCTTTTGCGGCAAGATTTATGCATGCCCTTGAGCGCAGAATAGCCTATATTCCTCCATACACCCAGTATTTAAGCAGAAATTAATATAAACGTGTGATTAGTCGACTAATTGCTTAAATTAATGATTACTAGTCGACTAGAAAAATCCTTAGTCTATGGCAACTCTAATCAATACATTTACTATAGTTGACATTATTTAATTAGTAATTAGTATTCAACTCTTTACATTAAATTAGTTGAACTAAATTAAATGAACTAATAAAATAATAAAACAAAGATTAAATTAAGATGCTAACTATATATTTCTATATAGCATTGCTTGTTCCACCACGCAAACGACTGTTTTTAAGGAGACAATCTGTTACACATTTGAAGATTTACTGTATCTTGAAGATTGTTGTATTGATTTGTATCTTCTGTTATAAAGATGAAGATTGACATTTCGTTAATTAAAAAAATAAGCACATAATGTTGTAAAAAATAAACAACTTATGTTCTGTTAGATGTTTTGTGTTTTGACTACTTAATTTTGTATATAAATATCTCTAGGTAATGAAGATATATTAACAAAAAAAATTATATATTATATATAAAAAATATATAAAATACATATATATAAAAAAGGGCCTCATTAGCCACGTTTCCACTGCCGGGCTAGGGCCGGGCCAGGGCTAACAGCGAGCCGAGCCGAGCCAGTGGCCTCGGGCCTCAAGCACCGGGCTTGCGTTTCCACTGCCGGGCCAGTAGCCCCGCAGCGCTGCCCTTAACCCCGCCCCTAACACGCCTTTCTGGATCAAACGTCATACAACCCAACCCATTTCAGCGGGTATTATGAATTTATTTATTTTTTAAGTTAGGAAGATAGCATGTATATTAACTCACCGACCGTGGCTGCAATAGTGTCCCGATTGTCTCGCGAGTCGCCACTAACAGAGGGACGCAGCACACCGTCCATCAAGTCGATCCGTGGAAAATCCCTTCTCTGAGCTCCACTTGTTCATTGTGCGGTTTAATCGCCTTGTACAATACTGCGCCCGCAACTTTTTTTTTGTTTTTTCTTGAACTTGAAGCGTTGCTCGCTGAATGCTTAGCTTAGAAAGTTCAGCATCGATGTATTTTATAACGTCTTCGTTTCTTCACACGCCGTCAAATTGACGCTGTACCCTTTCTTCTGCCCAAAGGCTCAGAAGAGCTTTGGTATCTTTGACAGACCAGTACAGGCGATTCTCCATTTCGAGCAGCGATTATTTTGCGCTATATAAAAAAGTGAAATGTGCATCTTGCTTCAGATCATAACGTTCCATAACACTGACAACCGCCAACAAACTCCGCCTTTTACCTTGAGCACGCCTCTAGCCCGAGCTGGCCCGCTTTGGCCCAAGGTATTCGACGGGCCAGAAATCCTGGCCGTTGGCCCCGAGTAAGCCCCGGAAGTGACAGTGGAAACGCGACTGGCCCTGGCACGCACTTGCACAGCTCGGCCCTGGCCCGACAGTGGAAACGCGGCTATTGATTAATTTTGGCTGGGGCCACTCAGTGCTGGTTCGTCTGACCTGTTACTTAGAGGTTCACTGGACTCTACAGGTGATTCTACAGGTTCTGGATCCAGAATCATAAGCGGACTCTGATCTCCTACTCCTGGATTAAACAGCGGAGTGACTGATCCAGTGAATCTGGTGCTCATGGTCAGCAGATGTTTCCTCTCTTTGACATTGTAAAATGACAAATGACCGCGATCATAATCTAACAGAACTCCCAGGCGTTCAGGTCTCGGCTTCAGTGAGAGAGTAACTGGTGGATCAGAGTTGGTGTAAAAGCCATAAGGACCGTCTGAACACAAGAACCAGTAACCGTTTGATGGAGTTAAAGCAGATACGGCTTTTACACGAAAACGTCCATGTTTCGCCACACCAATTAACCAGTAGTTTTTAGGAGGTGTATCTTCTCGTGCCAACGCAACCTCCCAATAGTGACGGCCATATGTAAATCTTTGAGCTCCAAAAGCACATAATTCATATGGAAATCCCTCTCTAGTGGGTTTATATCCTGGAGCGTTTCTCACTGCTTTACAGTCCTTAGAAACTATCAGACCTGGATGTAAACGCTCACGATCAATAGTGATCTGAACTGTGAAGAAAATAATGCAACAATTATTAATACACTTCATATTTTGTGTGAGATCATATTTACAAATATGTGCATGACTAAAGATGATGAAATTAATATATATAACTGAGATGATGTCATACCTGCATGTTTCCTCGTTTCTTCTATATCTGTGTCTCCCACAACTAAAATGAAAAATAAAGTGAGACTTTAGAGAAAGAAATCTACAAATCAAAAATGCTAGCATATTTCTAGAGTGTCTGTGTGTGTGTGTGTGTGTGTGTGTGTGTGTGTGTGTGTGTGTGTGTGTGTGTGTGTGTGTGTGTGTGTGATGGTTAGGTTTAGGGGTAGGGTTAGTGTAAGGGGACAGAATATAGTTTGGACAGCATAAAACCATTATGGAGAGTCCCCACACAGACAGTGAACCAGACTGTGTGTGAGAGAGAGAGAGAGAGAGAGAGAGAGAGAGAGAGAGAGAGAGAGAGAGAGAGAGAGAGAGAGAGAGAGAGAGAGAGAGAGAGAGAATTATAATTTAAATGCAAAAAATCAAAATTACTTTAACACAACAATATATTACGTTATCAAGGATTATAAAATAATACACAGTTCCCACTTGTCAACAAAATAACTATGCACATCCACGTTCAAAGGAGTAACTGGTAAACAACTACAAGGACTTAAAACAAATTGACCTTTGCATATTTGAGCACGTTTACTTTTTGGACAGCTTTAAAAGTGGACACGCCTAGACTTAATTGCTGCAAAATGGTCAATAATGTCATCATAGGACATCTGCCTGGAAACATCCCTGTTTATGCTCCTCTAGCCAGGCCATTGAGACGGTGCTGTGTCATTGTAGACCTCAGGTATGTTTTAATGAGCTTCAATTTTGAGAAGCTCCTCTCTGCACTAACCACGCAGTTTACAGGAGAAGTTGCAGCAATTCTTCAATTTCTTTTCCTCTACGGAGAACAAAAGTTCTAGTGTTGTCATGTTGTTCTTGGGGAAATCTGAAAAATGTAGCATTTCTAGTGCAAGTTCCTTTCCATTCAGATCTGACTGACCATTGCTAGTCAAGGCGTCAGACTGTTGACACATCTCCTGGGTTGAAAGCTTAGGGAGGCTTATGACGACTCCAAACCTGCTTTCAACTTCACTCAGGGTCTCAAAACGGCCATGCAGTGATTCAGGGCAAACATCCCCAATGTTATTGAAGAAACAAACCTCCATTTGTTTCATTGCATCATTGAAGGGCTCATCATGAGAGAAATGACGTCTTGTGAGTCTCTTATGCTTGAGCACGTCCTCAACATTCATCTCCTCACAGTTGCTTGTGCAGAAGCAATCCCTGTCTTTCTGTGGCTCTTGAGGGAGGCCTCAGGTTTCGTCAGCAGACTGACAGCAACATCCAGCTGCATGGACTTACTTCAGTGCAGATGGCAAAGCGATATGCCCCTACTTCCTCAGCTAAAGTGTGTGCCTCAGTTTTAACCCCTGGGTCAGTGGCTTTCTCCTTCACCTCTACAAGGGCGTCCCTAACTTCTGCAGCCTGGTCCCTCACAGCTTCCACCATCTTCACTCGACTCTCCCATCGGGTCTCTGTCCTGGATTTCAGAGTGAGATCGAGATGGCTTTTTAGAATAGGCCAACATTGTGTGGAGGCTGAGAAAACAGTGAACAGCTTCTGGGGAGCTTTTTTCCTGCATCCGCTACCACCAGGTTTAAAGAGTGTGTTGCACATGACACAAAAGGACTTTGTGTTGATTTATAGCAGTCTGGCTTAGACACCTTCCTTTTTTCCTTTCATATTTGCCCCATTATCATATGACTGCCCCCTGCAAAGAGTAGTGTGCAGTGTCTGTAGAAGGAGGTAGATTCTTCAGTAGATTCTTCAGAGTCAAGGAACGCCATAAAATACTCTTTAACTTCCACATTTTGAACTGCCACAGTTCGAATGGTACGTGAGGCATCAGAGGTGCTGTCCACAAAAAGTGAAACATATTTAGCCTCTTTGATCTCATTAGCCATTGGCCATAGCCATAGCCATCACCCTGAGCTATTTCTCTCTCCGTCCTTCGGATAAAGCGTTAAACCGAGGTCCTGACTCTCTGTGGTTATTTAAAAATCCGAGAATGTCCTTCAAATAAGAGTAGGGGTGTAACCCCGGTGTCCTGGCCAAATTTTCCCATTGGCCTCGGTCCATCATTGCCTCCTAATCATCCCCATATACAGGTCCTTTCTTAAAAAATTACCATATTGTGATAAAGTTCATTATTTTCCATAATGTAATGATAAAAATTAAACTTTCATATATTTTAGATTCATTGCACACCAACTGAAATATTTCAGGTCTTTTATTGTTTTAATACTGATGATTTTGGCATACAGCTCATGAAAACCCAAAATTCCTGTCTCAAAAAACTAGCATATCATGAAAAGGGTCTCTAAACGAGCTATTAACCTAATCATCTGAATCAACTAATTAACTCTAAACACCTGCAAAAGATTCCTGAGGCTTTTAAAAACTCCCAGCCTGTTTCATTACTCAAAACCGCAATCATGGGTAAGACTGCCGACCTGACTGCTGTCCAGAAGGCCATCATTGACACCCTCAAGCAAGAGGGTAAGACAGAAAGAAATTTCTGAACAAATAGGCTGTTCCCAGAGTGCTGTATCAAGGCACCTCAGTGGGAAATCTGTGGGAAGGAAAAAGTGTGGCAAAAAACGCTGCACAACGAGAAGAGGTGACCGGACCCTGAGGAAGATTGTGGAGAAGGACCGATTCCAGAGCTTGGGGGACCTGCGGAAGCAGTGGACTGAGTCTGGAGTAGAAACATCCAGAGCCACCGTGCACAGGCGTGTGCAGGACATGGGCTACAGGTGCCGCATTCCCCAGGTCAAGCCACTTTTGAACCAGAAACAGCGGCAGAAGCGCCTGACCTGGGCTACAGAGAAGCAGCACTGGACTGTTGCTCAGTTTTGCATGTCATTCGGAAATCAAGGTGCCAGAGTCTGGAGGAAGACTGGGGAGAAGGAAATGCCAAAATGCCTGAAGTCCAGTGTCAAGTACCCACAGTCAGTGATGGTCTGGGGTGCCATGTCAGCTGCTGGTGTTGGTGCACTGTGTTTTATCAAGGGCAGGGTCAATGCAGCTAGCTATCAGGAGATTTTGGAGCACTTCATGCTTCCATCTGCTGAAAAGCTTTATGGAGATGAAGATTTCATTTTTCAGCACGACCTGGCACCTGCTCACAGTGCCAAAACCACTGGTAAATGGTTTACTGACCATGGTATTACTGTGCTCAATTGGCCTGCCAACTCTCCTGACCTGAACCCCATAGAGAATCTGTGGGATATTGTGAAGAGAAAGTTGAAAGACGCAAGACCCCACACTCTGGATGAGCTTAAGGCCGCTATCGAAGCATCCTGGGCCTCCATAACACCTCAGCAGTGCCACAGGCTGATTGCCTCCATGCCACGCCGCATTGAAGCAGTCATTTCTGCAAAAGGATTCCTGACCAAGTATTGACTATTGAGTGCATAACTGAACATAATTATTTGAAGGTTGACTCTTTTTTTTGTATTAAAAACACTTCTTTTATTGGTCGTATGAAATATGCTAATTTTTTGAGACAGGAATTTTGTGTTTTCATGAGCTGTATGCCAAAATCATCAGTATTAAAACAGTAAAAGACCTGAAATATTTCAGTTGGTGTGCAATGAATCTAAAATATATGAAAGTTTAATTTTTATCATTACATTATGGAAAATAATGAACTTTATCACAATATGCTAATTTTTTGAGAACGACCTGTATATATACACTCACCGGCCACTTTATTAGGTACACCTGTCCAACTGCTCGTTAACACTTAATTTCTAAGCAGCCAATCACATGGCGGCAACGCAATTTAGGCATGTAGACATGGTCAAGACAATCTCCTGCAGTTCAAACCGAGCATCAGTATGGGGAAGAAAGTTGATTTGAGTGACTTTGAACGTGGCATGATTGTTGGTGCCAGAAGGGCTGGTCTGAGTATTTCAGAAACTGCTAATCTACTGGGATTTTCACGCACAACCATCTCTAGGGTTTACAGAGAATGGTCCGAAAAAGAAAAAACATCCAGTGAGCGGCAGTTCTGTGGGCGGAAATGCCTTGTTGATGCCAGAGGTCAGAGGAGAATGGCCAGACTGGTTCGAGCTGATAGAAGGGCAACAGTGACTGAAATAACCACTCGTTACAACCGAGGTATGCAGCAAAGCATTTGTGAAGCCACAACACGCACAACCTTGAGGCGAATGGGCTACAACAGCAGAAGACTCCACCGGGTACCACTCATCTCCACTACAAATAGGAAAAAGAGGCTACAATTTGCAAGAGCTCACCAAAATTGAACAGTTGAAGACTGGAAAAATGTTGCCTGGTCTGATGAGTCTCGATTTCTGTTGAGACATTCAGATGGTAGAGTCAGAATTTGGCGTAAACAGAA